TGGTAGTATGCTTGTCTAACATGTGTGAGGTCCTTAGTTCCATTGCTACCATTAGAGAAAGAGAGACAGACAAGAAAAAAGGCTGAGCATGGCAGTACACACTTGTTGTCCCAGGAATTTGGGAAGCTATAGGGGGATCATAAATTAGACGCTATCCTGCGCAACTTAGCAAGACCCTGTTTCAAAATAAAAAAGGGCTGGGGCTGTAGCTTAATAGAAAAACCTGGGTACGGTCCCCAGTACCACAAAATGAAGAAGAAAGATAAGAACACCCCCCCCCCCCCGCCCCCTGCAGCCGAATAAAACACAGATACTCCAAAACTGGTAATGAATCACAGTAATAGTTCATTTAAATAAAATATAAATTCTAGTAAATATGTAAAAAGTTTGATTTTATAAACAATAACTTTTTGCCTTTAGGTAACTAAGAAGCTCTAATATTGTCCTGTTAGTACTGTAGTGAGAATATAATCTTTACAAAGGCAATGGTACAATCTTTACAAAGGTGCCTTTTGAGAATGCTTGACAATACACATAAGTAACCCTAAAGAAGTCTATACTGTGGTTCTTTTTAAAAAATTAAAATAATATATTTACTATGATATTCTAGTGGTTTTTAAACCTTACAGGATCTAAATGATTTTTAGTAACAAGTTTTGTAATTCTTGTTTACTTTATTGAATGAAATTTATAGATACATGTAATCTACCTATATATTAATAAAATATAATGTCCTAACTCTAATTAAAGAAGGTCATTTGTGATGAAATTATTATGGATTTAAATGATATGAATACTCCTGTAATGATAGTCAATTGTTGATATCTGTACTTAGATCACAGTTGATTTTATTTATGACAAGTACAGGCTGACAGTGTGTGTTGGCAACTTGGATTCCATGAGCAGTACATACTGCTTCTGCTGTTGATTCTGTATTGTGGTTTACAGACTAACTAAATGAAAAAATTTCTTTGTTGCATGGCTTTTCATGCATAAATAGAATAAAAAATCGTTGATCACTTTTCCCTCAGATTGGTACTATATGATAGACATCCTGATAAAGCAAAATTTTTATAATATATACATAAGTGAGTGTAATGGCTGTATCACATACCATTTATATTATACAAGGCCACCTGGTGTAATTTTTTTTTTTTTTTAACTAAGGATTGAACCCCGGGGCACTTAACCATTGAGCTATATTCCCAACCCTTTTTTATTTGTTTTTTTATTTTGAGACAAGAGTCTTAACAAGTTGCTTAGGGCCTTCTTAAGTTGCTGAGGCTTGCCTTGAACTTGTGATACTCATGCCTTGGCTTCCCAAGTTGCTGTGATAAAAGGCATGTGACACCATGCCAATCTTTTGCCTATTGTAATTTGATGAAGGGGTTTTGCAGTAGCCATTCTGCTTTGTCATGAACATTATTTTGGGTTTTAGAACCTTTATACCACAGTTGTATAAATTGTTTTTGCCATGAGGGATATAATTTTGAATTATGCGTTTCTAAGTTTGGTATCCTCTTTCAACAGTTTTTAAATAATAAATAATGTGAAGCAATAGTAACAATAAAAATAAATATTTAACAAAAGTAAACTATAACAGAAATGAAGTAAAAATACCCTTGCTAAGACTTAACAGCATCCTACACCTGAGTTTTACTCAAGAGAAATAACACAGTTCTGCTAGCACAGAACTGTTTTGTGGGATTTCTGTGGAGATTTGTAATTTGGGGAAGTGCATATGATCAAACCATCTGATAGGTTTGTGGAGACCACCTTTTGAGAAACACTGCTTTAATTCCTTTCCCACCCAGCAGTGGGGGCTTATGATCATATGCTGTGAATTGAGGTTTGACTGTTCTTTCATTGGAAAAAGACAAGTCTTATTAAAATAGTCCTCAAGTAATTTAATTAGTCCTCTTTTTTGAGTGCTTTTTAAATGTCAAGTGCTTTTCTGTATGTGCTATTTTATTTAATCCTCACAATAACTCCTCAAGGTAAATATTAACTATTTTTTCATAAATTAGGAAACTGAAGCCCAGAGAGATTAAAGAGTTTATTCAAGGTCATACAGTCCAAGCAGTTTAACAAATACCTACACAAAACATGTATATGACACCATACTACCAAAAGAAACTCTTAGTGTTTCTTTTTTTTTTTTTTTTGAAATTCTTAGTGTTTCAATAAATAAAATCTTTGTGTATCTGGTCCAGTGTTGATGAACCTTATGCCACATTAAAAAGAGTTAATCGTAGAATAAAAACTCAAACATATACTTGTGATCCTCCTGCCTCAGCCTCCTGAGTTGCTGGGATTACAGGTGTGTACTAAAGTATTTCTTATTTAAATTTGTACCATTTATTAGGTATATGTATTCCTCTATAGGAAGTTTTTTTAAAAAATATTTTTTTACTTGTAGTTGGACACAGTACCTTTATTTTATTTATTTTTATGTGGTGCTGAGGATTGAACCCAGCGTCTTGCACATGCTAGGCTAGTGCTCTACTGCTGAGCCCCAGCCCTAGCCCCTAGGAAGTTTTTTTTTTATTGTGGACTCCGGCTGTTTGTGCATTATAAATAACTTATTAGGATAATATTTTTAGAATAGAGAGGAATTCCTTAAGTGAGATAAGAGCTAGTTTTGTCTGTGCCTAGAGTAGTCACAGAAGTCTTTTTGGTATAGTAATTACATGTGTTATGATTTTTAAAAATTGTTGTGCATTTATGAATATTGAAATAAACCTGGTATGGCTATTTATGGAGGCCCATGTTTGTAATCCCAGGTACTGGGGAGGCTGTGACAGGGGGGTTTTAAGTTCAAGGCCGGCTTCAGCAATTTAGACCCTAAGCAATTTAGTGAGACCCTATATCAAAAGAAAAATAAAAAGGTCTGGGGATGTACCTTAGTGGTTAAGCACCTCTGTGTTCAATCCCCAGTACCGAAAGAAAGAAAGAAGCTTGGCTTGTAATTTAAAAATTTGTTTATAGAGATATGCTAAGTATAAATAAATATCTTATTTATAGTTACATTGAAAATTAAGATTATAGATCTGCAGTTTAAGAAACACTAATGAACACAAACATGTTAAGAATAAATAATCAGGGCTGGAGATGTAGCTCAGTGATAGAGTGCTTGTCCAGCATACCTGAGGTCCCCAGCACTGCAAAACAATACTAATCAAAAATGAGTCAAGGCCAGGCATAGTGGCACCAGCCTGTAATTCCAGTGGCTCCGGAGGCTGAGGCAGAGGATCACGAGTTCAAAGCCAGCCTCAGTAAAAGTTAGGTGTTAAGCAACTCAGTGAGATCCTGTATCTAAATAAAATATAAAATGTGGCTGGGGATGTAGCTCAGTGGTCGAGTGACCCTGAGTTCAATCCCCAGTACCCCTCCTCCCCCCAAAAGAGTCAAGGCTCTAAACTGAGCTCCTCCTTGGTATCCAAAAAGAATGTGTAAGCTGTATGCCCTCATTAAAGGTGAACTATATTCACCTTTCCTTCCAACCTTAATTTCTACCCATTAGATTGTGCTTGTGGTTTGTTTTTCACTGTAAGCACAATTCTAATTATACTATGAATACTGGTTTCTATTTTACTACTTCCATACCATTTATTAACATCACACACTTGATAAACTTCAGTTTAAATGACTAAATACCAAGCCATAAAGTGGATGTATCAGTTTGTGAATTATTGCTTTGTGTTTGAACAGTTGGGTTACTTGGAATTTTTAAATATTTATATATTTTGATTTATACATGAACTTTTTTCTCTACTTTAGGCTTTAAATAGATACATTACAGAGCTGGGATTACTACTGGGTTAGCAAGTATAAAAGTTTGGAAGGATCAATTGCCTATTTGCAGATGTTTTCTGAAAACAATTTAGAGAACTGTCTTCAATATGAGAGGATAAATTTTAAATTTTGTTTTACTTTAAATGATAGGGCATATACTATTTTAGCTATTCTTCAATAACTTGTGGAATTACTTAGAGATATATCTTATCTAGAATTACAGTAATTCAGACAAAATAATATTTTCTTAAAAATGAAGTTTTACACTGTTCAGTTTTTCTATAATTAAGGCTCATTTGTTGTCATGAGCATGTAGGGAGTGGGAATTGAGACCCAGACACATCCCATCACTTGAGTTGCCTCTGAATGAAACTTAGAGTTGCAGTAGCAAATGAAGTGCTCATTCCAAGCATGACTCCTTCTAGGCTAAGATTTCTTTCTTTCTTTCTTTTTTTTTTTTATAAATAGTTACCTTTCTTCTAATTATATGATGTTGTAGACAAGACATGTGGGATAAATACCCTCATTCCTAATTTTTAAGAATTATTATTTTGGTCTTTTTAAAAAAAATTTCATCTGTGATTTTCCAAAGTAGCTTTTGGTTGAATTTGGGTCATAATTACACTTTTAAGGATTTAGTTGAGCCATTTGTCACTGCTGAAGTTCTTATGCCCTCTGATAACTTCCTTGAAAAGTCATTGTCATAATTTTTAAAACTGCTTGTTCTTAGCCTTTGATCTTTTGCTTTCATGCTTAAACAAAAGAATGATAGAAAAGTGAATATCTTGTAAAGACAGATGATTCTGTGAAGTACATTTCCTAAAGAGAGTGAGAGGATTAGGGGAGAGGGGAAAGAAAGAAAAAGACCGAAAATGAGGGAAAATATGCTATATGATAATTTCTTTGTGGGGGTAGGAGAGGGACTTTGGTCCTGGCTGTGTCCATTGTCTCTTTGTCTTCCTGGATCATTTACTTAATCTCTCTGGGTTTTTGTTTTCTTATCTTTAAAATGGGAAATGTGTTTGACTCCTAAAACACTGACCAACCTGAAACTCAAAGGCTGGACTCTTATGTATATGTGGTGCCCCCTTATAAATAATGGTGACTGAGGGAAATAAGAAACACTATATTTTATTTTTAACTTAGTAGCAATAATTTTGTTTCCTAATATATCTCTACAGAACAAGATTTGTTTTTTTTTTTTTCTTCAGAAAACTGTAGATTTAACACTACCAATCTGCTGGTATTTCCAGCTATTTTGGGTGATTTCATCATTTGATAAAATAAGATTTGTTACCCCTTGGTCTGTTACCTCATTAATTTAATAACTGCATCACAGTTTTAGGTTTGACACAGGGCATGTTATTTTTATTATAGCACACCACATTTTGTGAGTTTGGCCCCTCCATCAATAACCTACCCTGAAAGGTCATACATGCTGCAAGACATCCTCTGGTTTTAGTTTGACCATCCTTTCAATACATTTTTTTTTTGAACCAGGGATTGAATCCAGGGACGCTTGACAACTGAACCACATTCCAGCCCTTTTAAAATTTTATTTAGAGATAGGGTCTTGCTAAGTTGCTCAGGGTCTTGCTGAGTTGCTTAGGGCCTTGCTGAGTTGCTCAGGGCCTTGCTGAGTTGCTGAGGCTGGCTTTGAACTCATGATTCTCCTGAGCCACTGGGATTACAGGCATGCACCAGTGGCACCTGGCTCCATCAATACATTTATTAACCCTAAAATTTGAAAAGTAAGAGCTAGTTTTCTCAAATCTGTTAGAGAACTAAGTTTTCTTGGGCTGGGATTGTAGCTCAGTGGTGGAGCGCTTGCTTAGCATGTGTGTGAGGTACTGGGTTCGATTCTTAGCACCACATACAAATAAATAAGTAAAATAAAGGTCCATCAACAACTAAAAATACATATTTTTTAAAAAGGAAGAAAAAAAAGAACTAAGTTTTCTTGACTTAGAGCTTCTTATATACCCCTTAATTAGCCAAAGACAACCCAGCCAGAAACATATAAGAACCCCTTTGATTGTCTTGATTTTCAAGTAGAAATGGGTTGTGAGGAAGGATTTTTTTCCTGGTAAGCACAGGCAACTGTAAAGCTAAAGGATAGAACTTGCCTTTATGATGTGCTTTAATATGTCACATGAGGCTGTGAGTACAGCTCAGCTTTCATAGTACGCATGAGACCCTAGGTTGGATCCCTAGCACCCGGAAAGGGGAAAGGAAAAAAAAAAAAAGAAGGGAAGAAAAAGATGTAACAAGAAAAATACTTAGACTTTACAATGCGTTTTGCCATTTTAAAAATTTTAAGATTTTTTTTTGTAGTGAAATACAGCATTTTGAAAAGAGCATAAAACATAAATATTTAGCTTAATTAATTCTGAAATGAGTAATTTATTCTTTAATATATTAAAAATAATAGCTATCCTGATGTGGGAGTTCCCCATTGTCTAAATTTGATGGAGAATGCCATAACATGAAAGCAAGCAGTTCTATAGTGGAACATCAGTTAAAAATACATCATTTTTGGCAATGCCTGTAACATTGCGGAATCGCAATATAGTGAGGGTTTCATATTTAAGTTATAGGTGAGACCTGTATCATGTTTCTCATAACAGGTGAGGAGATTATAGGTTTTAAACATGCTGATATCAGGCAAAGCCTGATCTGTAGTAATGGTGATGCAATCAGAACTCTGTTAATATTTTCCTACTTTATTCTTTTATAGAAAAATGTACATACTCAAGGTATAGATTGATTTTGGTAAAACTGTGTGAATTGATTTAAATATCTGAGTTAAGTCATTTCAAACTTCTTAAGAAGTTCTAGATGTAGATATATATGGCATTTCATTTGTGTATTGGTAAAAACATTTTACATAATGTTGGAGATATTGGAGTACTGCAAGGACTTAAATACATGCTTGGAAATGTGTTGACAAGACAAATTTTAATTCTGCCGAAGGGCATGGTATCAAAGAACATCCAGTAAGTAAGTGCACCTGGGTAGGCAATCCGCCAGCTTTTATCCCTAATGCAGTACTGCCCCTGCTTTGATAGGAGGAGCATGGGGTTACAATCTAGCTAATTTTCAAATTAGGATGTGCAAAGGGAAGGGCCATAATTAAAATGGCTACAGTTGGATCTTATATGCCAATTGAGGCTAAATGCTGTATTCTGAAAAAGGACTACGGAACTTTCTATTTCTCAGTCATAATGTCACTTTTTAAATAATAATAATAATTATTATTATTACCATGGATTAAACCCAGGAGCGCTTCACTAGAGTCCCATCCCCAGACCTTTCTATTTTTTATTTTTTAGAGACAGGATCTTGCTAAATTGCTTAGGGCCTCACCAAGTTGCTGAGGCTGACATTGAACTTGTGATCCTCTTGCCTCAGCTTCCCAAGCCGTTGGGATTACAGGCATGTACCACTGTGCTGCGTTCATAATAACGATTTTGGAGGCTATATATGGCATTAGACTAGGTGCTAAATGACTAGATTGAAGGCTATATAGTTTAATATTTCCTGTAGAGCATGATTTAAACTATACTTTTATTTTACTTAAACCACATTTTAAGTATCTGGTATAATTGTTCTACCAGCAAATTCTATAGAATTTTTTATTCACTGTTTCATTTAACCATAAATAAATATTCATCGAGGGCTTAATATGCTTGAGGCACACAGAGAAATACCAGTGGGAGGTTCCAGGAATCCAGAAGTATAAAAGAGTCTCTCAGGAGACATGGAGGTGAGGACATGGTAAGGAGAGAGACTAATGTGTTTCAGGTAGGAGGTAGTAACGAATATGGGAATTGCTGGCAAGTACCAGTATTTCAGCATGACTGTACATATATGTTGTGTTAAGTGACTGATTTAGACAAGAAGAAGAGTAGGAGCTCAATTGTGATGCATTTTCAGGTTTCATTTTTATATATAACCATGTCATCAAAAAATTCTGGAATCCACCTCAGTGCTTTTTCCACTAATAGCCCAGAAGTTTAGAGTTTCATGTCTAGAAAGTTGATGGGATTGGTGATGAAATGCCTACATAGCCTGGAAAAGATGGCTGCTTTGGTCTCTGCACATTAGGATGCTTTACTGTTTCCAGCTGTGTGGTAAGGGTTAGATCCCAGGGTTGTGTTTGTATAGTTTCATTCTTCTATTTATTGTTTTTCTGTTTTGATACTGGGAATTGAACCCAAGGGTGCTTTGTCATTGAGCTACATTCCCTATCCCCTACCCTCTTTATCTTGAGCTACTGTCTCACTAAATTGCTGAGGCTGGCTTTGAACTTGTGATCCTCCTGCCTCAGCCTTCCAAGTTGCTGGGATTACAGGCCTGTGCCATCATGCCAGCTCATGCTCCTGTATTATTATTTATATTATTTGAGTGATTTGGTTTCAGTTGAGAGAGTCTTGCCAAAAACAAGGAGTAGATGTAGGTCAGTATGATTGTCATTTTGTGACAGATGGCTGATGTTTCATAAGCTCTGTGTGTGTGTGTGTGTGGGGGGGGTGTCTAGGGATTCAACCTAGGGCCTCACCCATGTTAGGCAAGTGCCCCACTACTGACACTGAGCCCCCCCAGCCCTCATCAGCCTTCTTTATTTTAAAGGCTAACTTTGTTTTTCATCTCAGCTTTTGTTAGTAACTCTTAAGTCATAGTACTTGCTCTGACTTGTTCAGGAGTTGACTTTCCTCTGTGTTTGTCTTTGCATGGTGGTATTTGAATATGTGAAAGCATCTTTTTTGATGCAGCCTGTTTTGATTCAGCAGATACTTATTGAATACCTATTACATGCAAGGTTTAGAAATTCCTCCACTGAAAACAACTTCCAAAGGCTGCTCTGAAGTGATTTGCCTAAAGATTCCAGGTCTAGTGACATTGCGACATGTGATGACTTTGTGTAGTTTTGTTCTCAGCTATGAAAATTTATTGGTTTAGAGTTCCTAAATATGTAGAGATTTGTCCATATACTGCAATGAGAAACCAGAACTTAAAAAGCATGGGCTGAGCCCACAAGGAGCTTATAGTCAATCCATATTTAAAATTTCCAGATTATTCAAAGATAGTTTTTTATAATTAACTTGTTCAAATTAACACTGGGTCTGGCCATGTCTTCTTTTAAAACTTTTTATTGGTGCATTTTAATTGTATGTAATAGCAGGGTTTATTGTTACACATACAGGCACGTAGTGTGACAATATAATTTGATCATTTTCATTCCCCAGTACCTCACCTTGTGGCTCTATCTTCTAAATGCTCTTTTAGTTTTTAACAGGTCTTCTACCACCACCTAATCCCTGTTCTTGTTATTGATTAGCTGGATAAACTTTATCTTTAGATCTGTCGAACATCCCACATTTTACACTTGGCTGATTACTTCGTTGAAGTGTTTAACTTCTTACTGTATTTCATATAATTTCAGCTGATATAGATCAGCTTTAGAGGCTCTATTAGACCCAGATTCAGTTTTGTTTTCTCAAAGAAAAGTATAGGAATGGGTAAGTACTTCTTGTTGCCAGTACTTTGTAAGAAGCATAGTGTTCGGTGCTCTCATTTTCTGTGATGTTAAGATCAATCAGAGGTTCATGTGTTGTCAATAAGATAAATTTATTGGAAAGTTTCTTATCATCCTTTCACTCAATATTACTGTTTTTTAGAATCTATTAATGATTTTTGTCTAGATTCATTAATCATTAGAGATTACAAAATGGTTATTTTTCTAACTAAGAAAAAGACAAACTTAACCCTCGTTTGTAATAATTTTACTCAAATAGAGTTAGTACTAGCAGGCTATATGTTTGATTTACTTTCTTATTCTTTATCAGTTTTTAAAATAATGAGTCAGTGATGTCTTAGCCGTCTCCAATAGTGACCAATGAAAAGTTTGGGTTTGTTGTTGTTGTTGTTGGATCATTATGAACTCATTTTTTAAAATGTATTTGATGTGTTTTCTATTCATGAAAGTTAGAATGGCCAGAAATGTGTCAACTAGGGCTGGGGTTGTGGTTCAGTGGTAGAGCACTTGCCTAGCATGTGCGAGGCGCTGGGTTCGATTCTCAACACCACATAAAAATAAATAAATAAAATAAAGGTATTATGTCCAACTACAATGAAAAAAATATATATTAAAAAAATGTGTCAACTTGTTAGGTGCATTGGGGCATACCTGTAAACTGCAGCTTCCTGAGAGACTGAGGCATGATGATTGAAAAAATAAAAAACAAAGTTGATTTCTAAATTGACATGACCTTCA